AGTGAGATCCCAAACGGACTCCACACCGAGCGTGGAGCGCATGTAGGGTTCAGTCTCATGATCCCAAAACCAAGACCCGAGCCAAAACCAAGAGTCGGACACCCAACCAACTGAGCCACCCAGGTGCCCCTATACATTGAAAGTTTTAATAGATGCTGTACATTGATTTTCCATGTCCACCTTTTCTACCTGATTTCCTGATAGTAGAGATCTAATTTAATCAATTTGATGGGTGAAAAATCTTATTCTGTTAATTTTTTTCCCTGCAGACAATATACAGGGATCTAGAGAAATTTTTGTTGCTGTTTACTGGCCATCTTAATGATTTCAGTAACATACATTCTGCTTATTTTTCATTGTGTTTGTCTTATTCTCAGTGTGAAACAATATTTTGCATATTTTAGATATAAATGCCTTATTAGTCATGAGTTGCAAACATTTTTTTCTATTTTGTGTTTCTCTTTTTTCATTAAGGTGTTTTTCATAGTACAGAATTTAAGTTTTTTATAATCAAATAGCTATCTTTTCTTTTACAGCTTCTCTGTTTCTTGGTAAAAAGATCTTTCCAACACTTTTGGTTGTCTATATTGGCCCCTAAATACTTTTCCCAAGATTTTTGCATATGTATATATGTTTAAATTGTTAATTGGGATTAATTTTGTATTAGACAAAAGTTAGCTTATTTTCTCCTAACAGATAATTCAGTTGTATAAGCATCATTTAACTAATAACTATATTTCCCACTGAAATAAAATATCCACTTAATCAAATATTGAATTCTGGTCTACACTGGGCTCAATTTCTGGGTTTTTGTTTCTCTGAGCTAGGTCTGTACCTATACCATTCCTTACTGTTTTCAATTATAGGGACTTGAAATGTTTATAAAAGCTAATAACATGACCTTCTCTCACTATTCTTTTTTTTATAAATTTTCTTAGTTCTTTTTGTGCATTTATTCTTCTATACAAACTGTTGTGTATTGTGTACTCTTTGGGTAAAGCTTTCTGTAACTCAGATAGTGGGTAGATCCGCAGTCTTCTTTCTATGTTGTTAGTTCTGTGTGAGTTACCAGAAGACACCTCTAAGTATCTGGATATCCTCAGCTAAGAGGGTAAGTACAATCTCAACTTCAGTCCTAAAGGGAACCAAGTCTACCAGGTTAGCTCTTTCTAAAGCTCTTTGTGGGCCAGGGAGACTAGCAGATTGTTCCAGAAATGCTCATGCAGTTGATGCCTTTTTTGGGGGAGAGAACTGCCCATGGATCTCTTGGTTTTCAACTATGGCCAAGCTTTTGTCGTGGTTTTAAGAGTTCTGAGTCTGGTGTCTGTCAGCTGCTCAGCTCAGGAGAGGTATCTAGTAGTTGACCTAGTGTTGGGACTGGAGATTATTAGGATTATTTTCAAGCATCCATCTATCCAAATCCCCTCAGGCTAACCTCACTTTATTTCTGGTTTGTATTTTAGTTTTCCTTTGGTTATTTAAAAAAGATTTTTTTAAGTAATCTCTACACCCAACGTGGGGCTCAGACAACCCCAAGATCAAGTTGCATGCTCCACGGAATGAGCCAGCCAGGCGCCCCATTTCTCATTTATTTTTATTTTAACTTAGTATAAGCTTTAAGTTATAGGTAATAAGTATGAGTAATATATCTTATGCTTTGATGGATCTACTTTATTTTTTTTTTAATTTTTTTTATTGTTATGTTAATCACCATATATTACATCATTAGTTTTTGATGCAGTGTTCCATGATTCATTGTTTGTTCATAACACCCAGTGCTCCATGCAGAACGTGCCCTCCTCAATACCCATCACCAGGCTAACCCATCCCCCCACCCCCCTACCCTCTAAACCCTCAGTTTGTTTTTCAGAGTCCATCATCTCTCATGGTTCGTCTACTTTATTTTTTTTAAGATTTTATTTATTTATTTGACAGAGAGAGACACAGAGAGAAAGGGAACACAAGCAGGGGGAGTGGGAGAGGGAGAAGCAGGCTTCCCACAGAGCAGGGAGCCTGATGCAGGGCTTGATCCCAGGACCCTGGGATCATGACCTGAGTCGAAGGCAGACGCTTAACGACTAAGCCACCTAGGCGCCCCTGATGGATCTACTTTAATTGTTTTCTTTTTTGAAAGAAATAAATTGCTGCCTATTTATTTGTTCATACCATTATCAAATATTTATTAAGCATTTTGTGTGTAGCATCATTTAGCCTTGGAGTTAGGCATATGAGGATGAATACCACCCAGCCCCTATTTTCTCAGAAACATTTTACGTAGTCTTTCATTTCTTTCCTTAAAATATTTTCACTTGGCATACACACTTCCTGGGTTTTTGTTTTCTTCATTTTTGTCCCTTTTAGTCTCCTTTGCTCAAACTTTCTCATCTAGACCCCCAAAATGATGGACCCCCAGAGCTTAATAAGACCCTTGCCTTCTCTAGCTCCATTTCATTCCTTAGGTCATCCCATTCAATGTCAGGCTTTAAATATTTTAGCTATGATGTACTGATGTCCCTAAAGACACATGTATTTTTCAGTCTTGGCATTTCCCCTGAATTTTAGCTTCAAATATCCAACTGCTGAATCTCCAAAAGGCTGTTTTAATAGGCATTTGAAAATTCACAAGACCACAGCATATTGCAACTGTTTGCCCCCTTGACTTTGCATTTAGTGGTCCATCTGCTCACTTTTCACATTATGACTGGTTAGCTCCTTCATGTCATTCATTAACATGAATGATTTTTGTGGTCCCACTTTATCAGATTTTCTTTCATGCTTTATAACATTCATGTCAAAGTGATTTTTAAAAAATCCTAGTTTTTTTAGCTTAGGTTTGAACTACAGTATTTTTTCATGTAGGATTGTCTTCATTTTGTGTTTTGTAATTCATTCTTAAAACACTGTTTTGGGGCACCTGGGTGGCTCCATAGGTTGAGCGTCCAACTCTTTGGCTTACGTCATGATCTCAGGGTTGTGAAATTGAGCCCTGTGTCGGGTTCTGTTGCTCAGCACAGAGTCTGCTTGAGATTTTCTCTCTTTCTCCCTCTGCCCCTTCCCCTGGTTATGCTCAATCAGTCAATCAATAAAATCTTTAAGAAAGAAATCCACCTTTTTTACTGATTATGAAAGTAATATGTGTTAATTTTAGAAAGCTAGAAAAGTACAAAAAAGGAAAAAAGTCCATGTAATCTCATCATTGAAAGCGGCACTGACAATTTAGTATATGTTTTGTCTTTCTCTCCATGTGTATTATTACTTACAACACTTGATTCATCATGTATCTACTATTAACTACTTTTTCTTTTCAGTTACTGTGTAGTGAACATTTTCCAATGACATTAAAGTTAGCTTGTAGAACATGAGTACATGGTATTCTGTAACACAAGTATGTAATAATTTGTCTAATTCCTGATTGTGATATAATTAGGTTGCTTACATTTTGCTATTATTACTGTGCTGGGATGAATGTGGATGATTTACATCCCCCGGATTATTTTTTAGGTTAAGTTCCAAGAAGTGGAAATAATTCTTAGGCTGTATAGTATAGTAATTAAGAACATTGGCTTTGGAGTCAGATTGCCTCAGGTTAAAATCCTGACTTCTTCGGTGTATGTGTATTTAGGCAAATTAATGTATCTCTCTCATTTCTTAATCTGTACATTGAAGATAATAATAGTTTAGCACTTCTTAGGTGTATGTATATTTAGGCAAACTAATTTATCTCTCTCATTTCTTAATCTGTGCTCCAGGCTTATCTTCTGAATTACCTGCTCCAATTCTAGAACCAGCCATTACCCCGAGAATCCCTGTTTTCTTTTATTGGGGAATGCTAGGTAGAAACCAAGACCTGGGTGCTGAGTGTGCTCACTGCTACTGGGCTGTCACTACTTCTAGTCCCTCTTGGTGAACAGAGCTAGCAAATAATATTTGTGTGTTGTTTGTGCATGCATGCACATACATATCTATAATTATTTTTATATCTATTTGTGTCCATATTAAACTAAACATGAGTTCAAGTGATGTCCAGTACCACAGGGTTCATTCTAACCTTCCTCCCTTTGCTTTTCTGTAACTTTCCACTCCCAAGTGAGAAGCTTGATTCCACCATCTACCATCTATTTACTTAATTGTTCAACCCCAGTATTCATGTAAACTGATTCAGAATTAACCCATATCTCTGTGAAAAACAACTTTATCAAATACAGTACAGTTTTTATGCGTGGTTCCATTTTTCTCTAGCCTTACGGTTTCCAGCAAAAGCACCATCTTCAAAGTTACTTATATCACTTCCTTTTTTCACCCACAGTTCTGTTTTTGACCTTGTGCTTTAAAGACTTCTTAATTTAGGGGCCCCTGGGTGGCACAGTTTATTAAGCATCTGACTCTTAGGTCATGATCTCTCAGTGTCATGAGATTGAGCCCTGTGTCAGGCTCCATGCTCAGTGTGGAGTTTGCTAAAGTTTCTCTCTCTCTCTCCCTCTGTCCCTCCTCTCACACTCTTTCTTTCTCTCAAATAAATAAATAAATCTTAAAAAAAAAAGATTTCTTAATCTGAAAGATTGGTTGTATGCATATACATATGTATACATGATGTTGCATATAATATATATAGCACACATACATGTAATATGTAACAATATAATTGTATGCAATATAATAACATACCTAATATGTGTAAATTGTATTTTATTTATTTTTAGGTATTTTCTTTTCTTTTTTTATCTTAAATTTCTAAACATCTGTTCACTTTGTCACTCAGGTATGAAGTAGAAGTATTTTTCTTGCTTTTCTCCATTGTTTGAAATGCTACCTTTTATCATATTTTTTTAAATCTTACATATACTAGAACTTTTCTGTTTATTCTGTTTTATTGTCTCTTTTTGTTCAAGTTACAGACATTATATAACCTTATGATAATTTTAGTATCTGATAGATTATTCCTCTTTTTGCATATTCATATTCACTTATTTTAATTATTTGTATAATTTTCTTTATTTCAGGAACATTTTAGTGGATAAACCAAATGACCAATCTTCAAGGTGGTCTTCAGAGAGCAACTATCCTCCCCAGGTAAGATTGTAGGTCCTGATAGTATTTAGAAGTCAGAATTTAAATAGGCATTTAATTGACCTCAGTTATCTGGACTCCATTAATAACTTATTCAGTCTTTGAAATTGTGAGATAGACTTTTATTTCCTTTTTTTTGTTTGTTTAAATGTTGGAAGAATTTTTATTTCATAGGCAAATGCAGTGTGGAGTTTGATGAAGCATAGACTTTTTACTTCTGTCTACTGGAGCATTTATTTATTTACTTTTAAAGATTTTATTTATTTTGCGGGGGGCACATGAGCAGAGGGAGAGGGAGAAAGAGAATCTAAAGCAGATTCCGCGCTGAGCATGGGAGCCCAATACAGGGCTCAATCTCACAACCCTGAGATCATGACCTGAGATGATTCAAGAATCGGGTGCTTAACCAACTGAACCACCCAGGTGCCCCTGTCTACTGGAGCATTTAAAATCTAATATGTATTTTTTCCACATTACTAATGATGCAAGATTAAGCTTCTTGATACCTTTTGAGGAAAATGTTAATGAAAAGAACTGGTTATGGTGCCATTACCGTTTTGAGCAGTAACTGATCTGAGGGCTGATCTGAGCAGAGGTTGTGACTTCTACTGTACTTAAACTCCAGTCATTCGGTAAATGTTTAAGGAAATGTTAGTGAGTTGAACTTTGACTCAGTGACTCAATGACTGCCTTTTAGGGAAAATAAACTTAATATAGTTTGTTATTTTACTAAAGTGGTATATTTAGATGCTGTCAAGACCATGAACTAAATTCTTTCCTTGACAAGTGGTGTCTGAGGTCATTTGAATTTAAAAATAGTCATTCTTTCAGTTATATACTTTAAGCATTAAAACTTACAAACTTACTATGTCAAGTAAAACTTACTTTTTTATTCTAATGTAATTTTTGGAAACCTAATCTTTATACTTATTTTTTCTTTTATATATATACAGGTGTGTGTGTGTGTGTATATATATATAAATATATGCATACCTTTTTATTTCATAAGCAAATGCAGTGTGGAGTTTGATGCACTCAATCCCAGGTGTATAAATGTTCTATTGCAGGGCACCTGGGTGGCTCAGTCACTTAAGCGTCTGATCTTGGTTTTGGCTCAGGTCATGATCTTAGGGTCTTAAGATCAAGCCCCGAATGGGGCTCTGTGCTCAGCAGGGAGTCTGCCCCTCTCTCTCTCTCTCTCTCTCTCTCTCTCTCTCTCTCTCTCTCTCTCTCCCGCCCCCCCTGCCCCTCCCGCAGCTCATGTGCATGTGTGCACATGCTTGCTCTCTCTCAGTAAATAAATAAAATCTTTTTAAAAATAAGTGTTCCATTGCAAAATATACATCCAAAGAATATATATTCATACTTTTTATATATGTATAAGGAATAATAAAATATCTATTTATTCATTAACTGTCTTTAGAAATATAAAACGTCCACGACCTTCTGAAGCTTCTTGTGCACCCCATCTTCTATTTGTCCTCTAACTCCACCCCAGTAACTATAATTTCATGCTTTGTTAAGCATCTTCTTACCATATTATGTGTGTATGTTTATACATGTGCTATGATTTAAGTTTTATCTGGCTTTGACTTTATATAAATCTAAATTAAATCACTCATTATAAATCTTGATCTGCTTTTCTTTTGCTTTACATTATGGTATTTATTAATGCTGCTGAGTATAATTATAGTTTCTTAATTTTCACTACTGTATAGTATTCCAGTGTATAAGTATGCAGATAAGATAATGTACTTAACCATTTTGCAGTTGATAGGCTTTTTTTGCTATTATGACTAGGCTGCTATGAACAATTTTGTATGTTGTCTTCTGGTACACATGTACAAGATTTTCTTTAGAATATATGCCTTGGAGCTCAGTTGTTGAATCATAGGGTATGTGTATGTTCAGGTAATGCAAAACTGTTTTACAAAATGGCTGTATAATTTACTCTCACTGACAGCATATGAAAGTTACTGTGCATTGCATTCTCCCCTTCACTTCTATGGCGGAGTTTTAGGTTTTGCCAGTCTGTTAGATCTTTCATTATAACTCACTATGCCTTTTTTTTTTTAAGTTGTTTTTTTTTTTAATTTATTAGAGAGCACAAGTAGGCAGAGCAGCAGGCAGAGGCAGAGGGAGAAGCAGGCTCCCTACTGAGCAGGGAGCCCGATGCGGGGCTCGATCCCAGGACCCCGGGATCAATGACCTGAGCTGAAGGCAGCCGCTTAACTGACTGAGCCACCCAGGCGCCCCAACTCACTATGCTTTTAATTTGCATTTGCCTGTTTATATTCAAGCCTTTTTGCATATGTTGGTGGACTTATATTGTGTCTGTTGTTGGTGCATGCCCCCCACCTACTACACCCTGAGGTTGGATACATTGTGTGTGTGTGTTTTTTTTAAGATTTTTTTTTTTTTTTTTTTTTTTTGACAGAGAGAGACACAGTGAGAGAGGGAACACAAGCAGGGGGAGTGGGAGAGGGAGAAGCAGGCTTCCCGCTGAGCAGGGAGCCCGATGTGAGCTCAATCCCAGGACCCTGGGATCATGACCTGAGCTGAAGGCAGACACTTAAAAACTGAGCCACCCAGGCGCCCCGAATACATTGTGTTTTTAATCATGTTTTTCTTATTCACTTTTTCATTTTACTTAAATTGAGCCCTCAAATTTGGTATGTGTTTGTTTTTACTCAGTTGTTTTTGTTTTACCAATGAATTATATATAATTTTTTTATTATTACTGAAACTGTGGTAACCTCTTTACTGTGAAATTTTCTTTATTTGTTGTGGAACAGTATTTTGAAGGCAGTATATAATTATGGGAATTGTCTGTATTTCTCCATATTTGTTTTTAGTGATTCTAAGTTCCACTCCCCCCGCCCCATGACCATATGGTAATTGTAAGAATTTGGTGCATATACTAGCTACTTTACCGCCCTAAAACTGTGACAAGTATTTCTATTTCTAATGTGTTTCAGTTTTATAGATAGTTGATTCTGTTATTCACAACAGTTATGTCTTATAAAGTTGCCATGAACACTGCAGTAGTGAATACTGAGCCATTGCTCCTAGGGGAAATACAGGGTTAGATTCCTCTGTGTCTTTGGTCATAACATTGTTGTCTACTGATCAGTACATAACCTTACTTTATGTGTGTTTCTGTTTATAGGCACTGTATTTTATATATATTTTGTTTATTCATTAACATTGAACCTACAGCCATAGCACTATAATTCATGCCTGAATGAAGCTTGAAATAAGAGTCCAGAGAGAATGGATCACAATATGAGTGAGTCTTGCCATGGGAAACCCAGAGAGTTTTCACAGTCTTTCTCAGGATCTGCCTGATGGCATGTGGCAGACTCTTGAGGAAACTAAGGTTTTGACTCAGATTTAGCCAGAGAAAAATGAACATGTTCTAAGAGACTTTCCCACATATGTCTTTGTGTAGGTCCTGTGAACTCAGAAATGCTTCATGTAGAGGTGGCACCCCCGGACTCACGTTTCACTAGCTCTAGGTGCTCCTTTTGCTGCAGGAGTGCAGCGGCCTCTCCATTAGAACTTTTCAAGGCAGGTGGGCACTGAAGGAGGGATTGAAATTCCCCTGGGGCCCAGGGAACTTCTTTGAAATTCTTTTGTCAAGGGGGCATCACTGCCTCAGCCTGACACATATTTCCTCTGTAAGGCACATCACAGCCTTCTTGTGGTTAAAAACATTAGACATCACTTCAGCACTCTGCTTGGGGATCATTTCAGACAGCAAGATCACCAACAGAAAGCACAAAAGTATTAAAGATGTGGCACTACATAGACGGTGAAAAGGACATTTGTTTATAGTATAATAGAGTTAAACCAAGAAGGCAGAGTGTCCCTTGGTCAACTCAGATTTTTTGCCACTCTGCACATGTGCACATGTCTGGGAATGACTATAGAAGTGCTGCAAGTATTGATTTTTGGTGCTGAAAATAAATTTTAGTGAGTAGGCGAATTCACAAATAAGGAATCCACAAATAATGAGAAGTGACTGTACGGTAAGTAATAATTCATTTATCGTGTCTTGAACAGATCTGAGAATCAGAAAAAAAAAGAGGATACTGAAAAACTGAAATCATTGTGATAAAATTTTAGGTCTTGGGGTTTTTTCCTAGAATCTGCTATGGTTATAATGTTCCTCTATTTGGTTATTTCCTCAGGTTTCAGCACCTGGAAGTAACTTTGTGTGTACGGATCAGAGCTATAAAAGATAGGCATATTAATGGCCATCTGACATAAGGGTCATGAGGGAAAAGATAGAAAAATCTAAGTAACAAATAGAAAAACAAAAGTGTAACATTTAGGAGGTATTTATTGGGAAAATGGATTAATACTCTATATTTAGTGTAGATATTTCAGTAGATATTGCATACCTTCCTTAATGTTACTTACTGGAATAAATAAAGTAATAGTGGTTTTCATTCTTGTCCTCATTTCTCTACTCATTGAAATTTTGCCCAAAAGGACTCAATTAAACTTTTTACCTTTTATTCTAAAATTTTGTTATTAGGCTAATCATCATGCAATTCTATTGGATATGATTCTGATTGGAACTTTTATTCTAATTCTGATGAAGTTGATTGTAAATCTTAAAGCCTTGTGTGGTATGTGATTTTAACATTGTCCTCATTATGATAGGTCCCTTTGTATCATTTTGCTTTTGCTATATAACAGATCACAAATTTAGTTGCAAGCCACTTACTAGCTTACAGTTGCACAGGGTTAAGTCCAGCATGATGGTGTGGGGTTCTTTGCTCAGGGTATCACAAGGCTGAAATCCAGGTATTGGATATATTGTTTTATATTCTCTCTTATGTTTTATATGTCTTCTGTCTCTATCACATATTGTTGTAAGTAATCTGCCATTGACTCTATGGAAACTAGGGTCAGAGAGAGTTCACCTTTCTAGAATTGTGTTTCTTCGTACATAAAAATAAGGTTTTAGGCTTATCATGTACTCTTAAGTGTTT